CAACAGCGCCAAGTGAAGATATTGGAGCTTATCGCGAGCAAGTTTATGAAAGATTAACTAGCGACTCGGCATTAAATTTGTGTGTTAACTTCAATACATCTGAAAACGCTTTGCTAGATCATCTTGCTAAGCATTTCCTTGTGTTTGGGATAGTGACGTCTCCATTATCTCATCGGCTTCTGCAGCTGGTGATGGCACTTCTCGTTCAAAGGGTCGTCTCCGACTACATGCTCACTGTCATTAAGACGTATTAATACGTTGCGCAACACACACGTAGCTTCAATTACATTAGCCACATTACACGGAACTGATTCTTTAACCGCCCGAACGCACACTCCACAATATTTCGGGTACGAGAATGAATATAGTTGTAGCGACGCTTCATAGTACACGTAGCTGCTGCAGCTTCTGGATAAGGGACGAGAAAATGTCCTCACAGTTCGTAGCCCGCACCACCAAGCAAATGCTTCCGGAAGGCATATATGAGGACAGTCGACAAATGTACAAACGCGTTAGTATAAACAATTTACGCAGCGTGTTTGCCTTGCCTCTGCTTAATACCTGAGCCGTTTCAAAGTGACTGATCGTTCGTAGATCCAGATCGGATGGACAACAAGTAAAAAAAGCCCACGATAGTCCATTACAGCTTGGACATTTACTGCAGGGTAGCCCTTCCAGCAATACCAGCCTTCAAAATCTGCTGGTCTAGCAATTCGCGCTAGTGTGCCATCGACGCACCAAACAAAATAGCACCAGGAAACCCTGCGAGGGCGAAACCCCGTCCTCTACGGTAGACGCTTTACTCGATATAGACATGCAGATGACTGTTTTTTGCGAGACTGACGATCACCTCAAGGTTTTCGCTGATGGTTTTTACAGCACGAGTATGCGAGCTGTCCAGAGCTTGGCCAGCCGTCTCGATGGTTCCCCCTTGCGCTAAAAATATCCTCGTCAGTGCTAAGCGATGGACAATCCTAAACTTAGCGTTGTGGTGCGGATTAACGGGCCGCGTCGCTGTAAGTGTCTGGGTGATGATAAGAAAGGAGGAGCAATCACAACACAGCATCTTGTTAAACCACCTCGTGTGGGGAGCCTTGAGCGCCCTCTTTAACGTCTCCGTAGGAACGTTGACACATTTTTCCACTCATTCGCGAGGGCTCGCTGATCGGCGGTGACTGTTATCGCCACAGCGACGCTAGCGCTCACGACAGCAAAGATGGCAGTCGCAGTAGTGTCCATTCGTGTGTGATTGGTCAGAGCTAATAGCGGTTCTAGAACTCAGAACGGCTCAGACCACAGTTCTGAAAACGAGTTCAACAAGAGCTGCTAGACGTATATGGTACCATCAGCGCGTATGCCACTCGGCGTAATCTCGTGCGACAGAAAATCGACCTTGGGTTGGACGAAACTGCTCTTGGTAAAGCTGACGCTAATCCGACACTCAGTGAACCGGGCTAGTAATCGGTCCAGTGTCTCGAGGCAGGCGTCAAACGTCTCCCCTCCGAAACAAATATCATCGCAAAACGGCCTCCGTTTGAACACTGGGACCAGATTAGACCGGTCAGGTTCTCCATTAGCAACCATGTCACCATCAGGGCTGTTGACTAGGTCTTGGACCGGATCACAGTCAGTTTGTGATTGGTAGTCTGCTTCGAATTCGTCAGCTGGCCTGGCGTTGAGTCGCCGAATCTACCGAGCTCGAATGGCCGAGCTCCCGACTCGGCTTCAGCGTTAGCCATTCGTTCAGCGAACGATTTCCATCCTCCCTTCGGTTGGACGTACCCCTATAAAGCGTTGTCGACGAGTCGTTGGTAAATCATAGGCGCTTTCTTCAATCCGAACGGCATTCGTAACCACTGAAAAAGCATTAGTGCACAGACGAACGCCGAGATCTGCCGAGCTCGGCGAGTCATCAAGACAGCCCAGAATCCACTAGCAGCATCAAGCTAGCAAAACCACAAGTAACCCTCCAATTCGGTAAGCAGGTCGTCAATTAGTGGCATGGCGTATTCCATCGGCGTCGTAATCGCGTTAACTTTTTAAAGTCAGTGTATAACCGGATATCCACTCCATTTTCTTGAGTACTATCACCACTGGTGAAGCCCAGGGGTTGCATGAGATTGATATCAACCCAGCTCGAAGCAGTCCCTTCAGCAACTCGTTCAATTTACTCAAGTGGCAGAGGGGTATCCGCTGAGCTTTCTGCTTGATATCTGCGTGTCCTCGAACGTCGATGTCGCACAACGCTCCATACGCCGGAGGCGAAAGTGCGTTACCACTTGAAATTAATTTTCCTTCGTACTTTTGCAGCTTACCACGTCTGCAAAAGTAGACCTATCGACTCCACACTTGGCTCTTCGTCACCGTGGTTACTGATCTTCATCATCGAGCTCATTGCTTCACTGTTAGCTTTAACATCTCTTGAAAGTAATACCTCCGGCTTGGAATTTGCCGTCGTCGCGCTAGGGCGCTGTACCGCTGAGTCCGCTGCGACGGCAGGACAGACTTCCACGCGCCCATCCTCTTCTCTCGCGTAGTGAGCGGTCTTGTGGCACGCTGGGACAGCTTCCAATACGTTTCCTATGTAGTGCCGAGCTCGCCGTCACCAAGTGGTTAATATCAGCACTTCTAGTGTTCAGGTCGCTCATAGCTGAGTTCGCCTCACCCCCAAAACCTGGTCTGATGGCACCAAACTTGGCTCGATCTTCAATCACGGGTTGCTCGTCGCGTAGGGCATGCTCCGAGCATTCTTCAGGGTCTCTTGCCGTTATAGCTGAGTCTTCAGTCGTCGACGCTTTTTTATTCGTCCTTACGGCGCTTGTTCCTTCAAACGCTGAGTTCATGCTGGCGCCAGAAATGGTGCTATCGTCGTCAAACCTGGACAGATGATAGAAGACATATTGGCCATCGTGTAGCTCCGGCGAACAATCCGCTCGGACGTCTCTATGTCGAAGCGCTGACTTTAGAGTCGGGTCGCCTCTTGCCACCCCCGAAGTGGATACGACGTCGGCGTCATTGCGGCGCCTCCGGTCTTCGTCGGCTCCTGTATCAGCTTCGATCCTCCTTCAGCGCTCGGCGCATGTTATTTCTTGTCCGTTCTCCACTGGAGGGGGTCGTTTCTCCACCGCCGTCGGAATAGGGTATTTTCGTCTTTCCACAGCTGGCGGCTGGTGTGACAACCAATCCTCGTACAGTCGTTGTTCCTTCTGCAGCAAATATTTATCCAGCGCTGACTCAAATGCCAATATCGGCCAGTCACGGCACCTTGCCGAGTTCACGCGGACATATCCCTCATAGGCCAGTACTCAATGCGGGTGCCATTTTATCACGTAAAAGTGAGGTGGACACCAGACTGACTTGGGTCAGTAAGAGGATTGAAATCCTTTTAGGTGCCTCTTCACGTCACCCACGAACACGATGACGAAGGAGAACGAGCGAGACAACGGACAGCGAGCAAGAGAGCAGAGAGTATCAACGAACAGAAGGAGGGCGACGAAGTGAGGCAGCTGGACCCTGAGCATGACGACGCGAAGCTCAACGACGCCACCTGTGGCACCCAACAAGAGTCGTCAACCCCGGACGCGCATACGACTCAGTACTGGTGACGGCAACGGCGGGACTGATGAGGTAGCTGTCAGCAGCAACGTCGCGATAGCACCTGTTGGAGGTGGTGGCGCAGATGGCAGCAGTGAAGATGACGACGATGTGTTCGACGATGGCAACTGCCGAGGAGGTGGCCAGGGCAACGGAGGAAACAACGACGGCGGAAGTAACGGAGGAAGCGACGGCGGGCAACCGGGCGATGACGAGACGCACACAGCAGGAGCGGCAGCAGCAAATCGGGGTCAAGATGACGACGACCTGGAGTCGATGGACTGGTGGGATGCCCTCACCCCAGGCCAGCAGAGATCCATGATGCGACGCTTTATGGGTCAACCAGCTGCGCCGACACCCGCGCAACCGACGCAACAACCCATCCTGATACAAGCACCGACGACGGACGCTCCACGGCGTCACAAGATGAAGAGGCTGCACATTAAAGATTTCAGCGGCAAATCCAGTGAGTCGGTCGAGGCTTGACTGGCAAAGATTCCCCAGGAGGTAGAGCGACAAGGTGGACTGGGAGGCGACTCGTGGGCGACAGAAGAACTGTACTACGGCGCGACCGCACACGCGAAGCATGCAGCAACAAGTGGTTAATAACTCTGTCGGACACCATGCGACCTCAAGACCGCAACCTGAGTTACCTGGTACGACAGATGCGGAAGAAGTACGGCAGCCGTGATAATATGTTCAGAATTCAGCAACGACTAGCGGCGCGAGTCCAGCAGCCGGGCGATCGGCTCAGCGACTACGCTGCCAGCTTGACGAACATTGGCTTCGGCAAACGCATCCCAGCTGAGTCCTACGTGGAGGCCTTCATAAACGGAATCAATAACGAGACGACGGCGACGCAAGTGAGGGCGTACGAATCTGAGACGCTAGACGAGGCCGCACAGTTCGCGGAAGACAAGTGTGGTGAGTACGGAGAGGGCTTCAAGGTAACCGAATGGCGTGTGGCAAAGCGGCGCTACCGGGAACACTGCGAGTACGGAGAGGAAGGAGACGCGTCTCCACCGAAGAAAAAATCCACGAATGAGGCGGCCGAACCATTGGACTGGAACAACTGGGCTTAGGGTTCGGAGGAGAAGAACCACCCACGTTTGGCACGGATGACAAGATCGTTAGTGGATTAACGAAAACTGCTAAGAAGGACCCTCTCTCATTGACTGTCCTTCAAGCATTACTGTTGGTCTCTGCCGGGTTAGGGAAGGAGAATACCAAGACAGCGGCGAACAAAGCAAAGGCAGCGCTGGCGTTGGAAGTCAAAACGGAAAACAATGCGGCGGCGAGCAATCAGCCACGGCAGTCGCAGCAGAACGGAGGGGCTGGCAGCAGCGGATGGCGGAACCAGGGCAACATTGGCAACTATGGCAACGGCAACTATGGCAATGGCAACTATGGCGGCGGTGGTTTCAACGGTAGTGGCAACGGCAGCGGACGAGGGTTTAACAGTAACCGCGGCTTTGACGGTGGACGTGGGTTTGGCGGAGGCCGAGGCGGAGGTTCGAACCTAGCTAACTATGGTCCGACTGACACGCGCCCGATCTTGCAGCGCAAGGCCGAGTCCAAGTGCAGCTACTGCGGCGAAGTTGACCACTGGTGGCGGGAGTGTGCCCGGCGTTTGGTGGATGAACAAGCATTGGGAGCGACCCAACCGACGCCATTGGCGGCGAGCAGCAACCAGGGCGGCGGAAGCGCAGCTACAGCAACGCCACCGACGGCTCCGGGAAACTAGTGGCGGCAGCGAAGGCTGGGGTTTCGTTGTCGGAAGATGCCACCAACCCCAGAGCTGGTGAAGGAGGACCCGTGTGGCTTCGTGACCAAATAGCGATGGCACGGGTGGAAGCGAGCACTCGGACCCGGGGGAAGAGCGCCGACGTAGACATCGGAGGAGCAAAGCGACGAGCCTATCGCCGTGGCTGAGAAGGAATGCAAAGCATCGACGGTGAATGTACCGGCGATGGGTGCAAGGAAACGTGCGGAGGCGATGTGCATACCCGGGTCGAGTGACGCTGCAGGCGCGTGCGCGGAAGAGACGACAGAAGAACCAGTGAAGAAGAAGCGGGCAACGGCAAATGCGTCCCAAGTGACGTTAACGATGAGTGGTGGAAGGACTGTGGCCGCGAGACGACGGCAGCGACGGAGAGAAGTGGACCTGGCGGCAGTCCAGAATATCCTGACGAGCGATCTGAGAGAGCGCCGAGAAGAGCGAGCGAAGGTGCTGCGCCTTGCAGTACAGCAAGCACGCGACGTCCTGCCAGAAGCTGAGCGAGTTGTACGGCGGGGAGAACCTGTGCGGGCACTACGCGTCGCCGTGGCTACGATGAAGAAGACAGAGGGACGCGCGATCAAGAAGAAGAACGGATGAACAGAGACGACGGGAAGGACAGTCAAGACCCGCGACACCGAAAAGGAGATCGCCGATGCCGAATGGTTGGCATGTGTGCAGCACTATGCGGAGATGTGTCCGAGGGAGCTGCAAGAGGAAGGAACACTAGTGGAGATGCGGGCCGCGCGCAAGAGGGCCATCCGTGAAGTGAAGGCGTTCGAACGGGCAAGGCGACGGGAACGGCTGCAGAACCGAAGACACCAGCGACGAAACGACGGTGTAACGCGCCGGGCGAAGTTACTCGAGAAGAAGCAGAAGCCAGCGAAGTCCTACGTGTACCAGAAGAAGGGAAACTACGGAGATGTGGAGTTGGTCGCAGGAGCAGACGGCCGTGGACTGTGAGTGGCGCAATTGCGTGCTGCCGGATCAGAAAATCCAAGCTGCTTGTCGACAGCCTTGCTGGCGTTCACTCGATCGCACACGCAGGAGGTACGACTGGATAGCTGTGCCCAGTTTAGTGTCGCTGGAGTTGAACTGCGGAGGTACGGCAAGTGTATCACACGCGACGCACCAGTGGACGCGGTTGAAGGCTTCGAGGCGGACGAACACGAGTGTTGGGAGTGTGGCGATTTGTCGGTACGACACAGTACCAGCAGAGGATCACAGTGGACGCACTGCTCGTGGATGGACAAGGTAACGAATTTCAGGTGGGCGAGGATTGGATGGTGGAGAAACAAGTGAAGATGAACTTCGCGACAAGAGAGCTCAAATACCGTGACGAGGGCAGTTTCTTCCACCAACTGATTGATGCTGGCTGCGCGCACCGGTTGAGTTAACGTGGGCCCCAACATCGGCCACTTCGCCTGCGCCATCGCCACAGACGCAAACATCATCATCCACCCTGGTCTCGTCCTCATCTCTTCGCCAAGCTGAGCCAACACTTTATTGGCGCTCGGCGTATCGGCGTTCCTCGTTGCTTTCGGAATTAGGGGCGGACGGTCCCCTTGCGCAACGCCACGTTCTTCTTCATCTTCTTTATCGCCCGCACCTTCGTCGATCTCGGCGGATAAGTTGCGCTCGACAGGACGTGGGTCTCCCATGCGTCCCACCTGCAGCGTCAACTCTTCCACCTCGCCAAGTAGCTCGGCGGTAGTCTTCGTTTCTCCGAGCTCAGCGGTCTCGGCCTTCTCTTCATACTCTCCTTCACTTGCATCTCCGTTCTCGCTCTCCTGGTCTTGGCCATCCTCGTCGAACTGGACGGTTCGTCCCACCTCCATCGTCATGGCGATGAGTCGTTGATCCGCCGGGTCCGACCCCGCGAGAGGCGATCCTCCAGCCGTCGCTGGGCTTCCGTCGCTCGGAGTTGCTGATCCCTTGACCATCATCACTCTTCTCTTTCTCTTCTCTTCCTTTTAAGTTGGTTAGCTGGTACCTACAAAAACAAGCACACACTCCTGTTCCCTGGTCGCGGCACCAGTTGTGGTGTAGTAGAACACACAAATACCGTCAGATGTGGATTCCTAACACAAACCACAACAAATCGCCGAGTTAGGTCGTCGCTTGTATGGCCTGCGCAGAGGGTGGTCCCCTCGCGGTTCGGTCCAGCCGGGACAGACGAGTGGCTCGCTTCCACTGAGTTCCGACTAACCAAGTCAGATCACTTCCGAGACTCCGCCGAGTTTGGTTCGGCTGAGCTCGTTCACAACCCTATGCCCTCCACCAAAGGATGGACGACGGCGCGTGAGCGCTTTTTACAGGTCACCGAGCGCTCAGCTAGAAACGTCACGGCACCCCGGCTGGTCGTTTCGGATCTCTACCGCCCCTTCCGCTGGGTTCAGGCGACTGTTGAGCTCAGTGGCCATCCGGATAACATCATCCGGACAGATCGCTGAGTACTTACCGTGATCATTTGTTCCTAAGCTCTGGGTTATCAGACCGAGCCGATTCTTGGTCAAAAGTAAATTCCTACACCAAATCCATATATTTGGCCTTTTCCTGGCGACGCACCGTTTGTCTCTACTCGTCCATATGTTGCTGCTCCGCTTTGGTAACCTGTTCGGCACAACGCCGACGCTCTCTTGCCTGCCTGGCCTTCACACGTTTTGCCGTTTTTCGCACTCTCCTTCGCGTCAATCGCACCCGCGCAATATTGGCGTCTCCCTCACTCGTCTCGCCCTTCATCTCCTCGGATCTGGAGTCTGGAGCCGACCGTCATCATCACCTGACAGCTCGTCGCCTTCCGTATTTCTTACCGCTGGTGCCCATCTCCTTGGCAGGGACACGAACGAACCTGTCCACCGGCATTGCAGGTCTTACCATACTGACGTAGCGCTTCCCCCCCCCCTCCGTCCTTCACCGACGCATCCACCTCCATGCGATTCATTACGGCGTCCATACTCGTCACCTTGTTCTTCCCGTTCACCGTCGGCGCTATTCGCACATCGTCGACTGCTTCATCATCACTACCACCGTTAGTGCTCTTCAGCACCGAGTCCGTTTCCGACTGGGGATTACTTGTCGCAACCGAGCGCCGTAGTCCCCCTACTACGTCCGTCACTAGATTTCTGCCGGCTTGACCAGCTGGTTGCGCTTCTTCCTGCGCTCGTCGTTGCGTGTCTTCGCCTCAGTCATTGGGCAATATCTTGCCAAATGACCAGACTCCTTGGACGTGAAGCACCTTGTTTCGTTCGGACAAGCTGCCGACCAGTTCCCCGGCTCACCACAACTGAAACACGGGTACGGGTTAGTCATCTTTAGTCTATGAGTGAAAAAGATCTTCAAATTCTCTTGGGGTTAACACTTACACCGTTCACTCTAATTAGTCGTGCTTCGAAATTAATCGTAATGACGTCACAAATCTGGGATATTCAAGAAGAGTCATAAATTCTAAACAAAAGCAACGGTTTTTGGGCAGATCTCGGCAATTACTTTATTCTAGTGTGCTTGGTTTGAAATATGAGCTACCGTCTTACCGCGCACTAGACGCCTAGGCGCTCAAAACAAGGGAATCTTATAAAAAAACTAAAATCTCAAACCTCAAATTGAAAGCATGGATTAATAGAACGAACACATCTTGAGAGGTCGCACAAAAAATTAACGGGCCATGTGCTGCCTGCTTGCCATGTGATTCTTGCTCAAATGCTCACGTCCAGCCATCCAACAAACACAATGGTTGGCTACAACACGAAGCGTGCTTCGAAGTGAGGTCCACGAGTAACATTTTCGGTTCTACAGCGTCAGTAGCATGCAGACAGAGGAGAAGAGGAACAGCTACAGCCTCCAGTTCAAATTGAACGTGGCCAGCGAGTACAAGCCCAATACAGTTGGCCATGGATATCATACTCTCGCCAAAAAGCATCATGTGACGTCTTCAATGGTGAGGCAGTGGTGCAAGCTGCGTGAAACGCTGCAACACGCGTCGAAGGACCGTCGAATCTGTACACGCTCATTACGCAGAATTCCTGGTGCAGGTCGCAAACCACACTATCATCAGCTTGAGCAGGAACTCCACGCATGGGTATCCTTTCGAAACAAGAAGGGTTTGCGAGTAAAAGACAAATACATCCAGCTACAAGCCCTCAACATCAACCGTGCTTTTGATAGAGCGTGGAAGTCCACCGAATGAGTTTCGTGCTTCTTCTGGGTGGTTGGATCGTTTCAAGGAGCGCTACAATCTTGTTTCGCGACGGCAAACGACCACCAGAACACTTCCCGATGACGCTGCAGAGACGTGCATGAAGTTCATAAGGAAAGCACACCAACTGATTGAAGAGCACGACATCCTTCCGTGCAATGTGATCAATATGGACCAGGTTCCCAGATATTTTGAAACAGAACCAAAGTCTACCATCACAACCCGTGGCTCACGAGAAGTGCTTTTGCGGAAGGGCGGCAGCAGTCACAAACGGTTTACTGCAACATTTTCAATCACTGGCGACGGACAGATTTTAGCGCCTCACTTACTCTTCTCCAAACTGAAAAGGAGGCCATCATGTCCACCTGGTGTCTTGGTAGACGTGAACCCCACTGGAATGTGGAATGATGACATCCTTCTCAGGCATGCGCAAGACGTGATATGCAGCAGGAAGGAGACTCAATTTTATCGGCAAACCGTTTTGTATATCATTGACTCGTATGCAGCCCACGTCAAGATGTTCAACGAGAAACTGCTCGAGCGGTACAACGTGTTCGTGTTGTTAGTACCTCCAAATCTCACGAACCTTCTACAGCCACTTGATGTTGCAGTCAATCGAAGCTTCCAAGCTTATTACCGCACGATGTATGATGGCTACATTGGAGAGGCTCTACAAGACAAACAGCTTCAAACAAAAGCCGGCAACCCCAAAGTCCCTAACTATGGCAGAGTTGCACAATGGGTGTTAGATTGGATTGATACCAAAACGCCG